GCCTGATAGAAAATGCTCATTTACAGGAGAAGAGGTGTGATGGGTTTACAGGGTTTTGCATCTGAACTCTTCATATCCCATATTGCACATTTTCCTAGAATTGTGCAGCCGTAGATAAATAAATGTAAACTTTACTTTCCACTTCACTGCATTACAGAAAAGACATTGTTTCCAACACTGCTGATGATAATCAGAAAGATCCACATCCTGCTCAATGCATGAATGCGAAGTGTACACATATTCTGTTTCACTTCACACTACAGCAGCAAACACAACTGAGTTCACACCGCACAAGACAACATCCAAATGCATCGCAGAAGTAGCTTATGATTTCACAATAATCAGTGTATGCATATATAAAGAGATCATCACTGTAGCTACTGTACACACACACACACCCACCGCACACGTGCACAAACACTCCCACGTGTGAACTGACAAAATCAGGCCAAATGTCTCTTTACTCGGTCTGGACGCCGGCCAAAGTTGACTCAGTGTTTGGCAGGAGCTCAGGAGAACAACTGAGTACAGCGAAGTGCCAGAACACACACACACACACACACACACACACACACAAACACACACACACAAACACACACACACAAACACACACACACACACACACACACACACACACACACACACACACACACACACACACACACACACACACTAAGAGCAGGATGACAGCAAGCAGAGCAGATGTTTCTCCTGAGGGCCAGCAGAGCTCTCACACACATATGCACACACACACACGTGCGCTCACACACTCACACACACACTCACTTGACCAGTTCAGAATTGCAGGTACGTTTTAAGAATTTTGGTACAAATATTACATCACAAAAACACTTCACACCTGATCTTCTTTGGCTTCCAATTCATTAATTTTCCTTCAGCTTAGTCTCTTATTTACTAGGGGTCGCCACAGCGGAATGAACCGCCAACTTATCCAGCATATGTTTTACGCAACCCAGGCTCATTCTGAAAACGTAGTCCCGTGGACGTTTCTGGAGAGCGCGAAATACGTCCCGGGAGGTATGTATGGCTGCATTTCATTTGTTTAAGCGAACGCTACGGGGCGGTGTGACACCGTTCCCTTTCACGCTTACCGGCTGACCGCTTACCTCCGTGTGGAGGGCTTTCCCGCCGCAATCAGTTTGTCCAGTCAGCTCATCGTGTGCGTCGACAGACTTCAGATGCAGAGAGGAGGAGTTGACCACGGCGAGCGGGTTCGAGGCCGGAGAGCGGTTCCAGAAAGCAGGTCAGACAAAAACAGAATCCAAAAAATAAAGCGAACGAGTTCATAACAGCGTGAGAACGTGGTAAAATAATGTAAAAAACGTGGTAAAACGTGGTAAAAATCAGTCTTTTTCTAGACGGCTTTTCTAAATTGTTGCTCGGGTTTAGGGAAGTAAGCAAGCGGGTGGGTCAATCGGTAAAACTGGTTGGGTTTAGGGAAGGAGGAGGGTGGGTCAGCCGATTGGCCTATCACGCAGTCAATCATTCGGTCAGTCAGACAGCGGCCTCTGGTGGGTTGATGCAAGAACAGCGCGGGCGCGAACGGCACTCACGAGAGACGTTCGAGATACGAAAAAGCGTACACAGCGGCCTCTCGCCGATTCGCAAGAACAAGAACTGCACAAATACCTACCTACCGGGACGTATTACGCGGGCTCCAGAAACGTCCACTGGACAACGTTTTCAGAATGAGACTGGGTTGGTTTTACGCAGTGCATGCCCTTCCAAAACCCACGCTAATGGAGAGAACATGCAAACTCCACACAGAAATGCCAACTGACCGAGCCGGGGCTTGAACCAGCACCCTTCTTGCTGTGAGGCCACAGTGCTAACCACTGAGCCACCGTCTAAATATATGAGAAGTTAATTGCGTTAAATGAAGTCAAGTGCATGTTCTCCTGGTGTTGCCGTGGGTTTCCTCCAGGTGCTCTGGTTTCCCCCACAGTCCAGACACATGCGCTATAGGGGAACTGATCAACTAAACTTGCCGTAGTGAATGAGTGTGAATGAGTGTGTATGGGTGTTTCCCAGCACTGGATTTTTGCTGAAAAGACATCCGCTGCGTAAAACATTTGCTGGAATAGTTGGTGGTTCATTTTGCCGTGGTGACTCCTGATAAACAAGTGACCAAGCCAAAGGAAAATGAATGAATGAACTTCTCATGTAAGAGCACAGCGACTTTAAAATGTGTTTAGATACTCATACAGTAAATTGAGAACCAAAGTTCAGCTCATAACTGACCTCTGTCATCAATTACTCTCCCTTTGCTTGTTTTAAACCTTTATGAGTTTCTTTTGTCTGTTAAACACTAAAGAAGATATTCTGAAGAATGCTGAAAACCGGTAACCATTGAGTTCTATAATATTTGCTTTTCCAGCCAAGGCAATGGTTACAGGTTATCAGCTTTCACTTTTTCAAAAAGTAAATATAACCACTCGAGAGACGGTAAATAGTGAGTAAATTGTAATTTTGAGGTGAACTGGCCCTTTAAGAGAGCTCATACTTATAAAAAAAAACCTTTTCCTATTGAAAGATACAGGAAGAAAGCTGAAAACTGGTAACTGGTTTTTCATACTATATGGAAGTCAATGGTTACCAGTTTTCAGCATTTCTCAAAATATCTTTTCAGCTTTCTTCAAAATATCTTCTTTAATGTTTAACAGAAGAAAGAGATTATATATAAGGGAGAGTAAATAGTGCAGAAATGTTCATTTTGGAATGAACCATCCCTTTAAAACAGGGCTGTCCACACTCGGTCCTGGAGGGCCGGTGACTGCTGACTTTAGTTCCAACTTGCTTTAACACACCTGCCAGGAAGTTTTTAGGAATAACTAGTATGAGCTTGATCAGCCAGTTCAGGTGTGATTAGTGTCGGCGCGTAACTCTTCAGGACACCGGCCCTCCAGGACAGAGTTTGGACACCCCTGCTTTAAATGATAATAACCCCAGTGAGATAAAGTTCAGCCTAAAACTGAAGATTCTGTCATAATTTGCTCTCCTTTTACTTGTCTTAGTTTTAACTTTTTAACTTGAAGTTTCTTTTCTTCTGCTGAACATTAAAGCAGATACAAAAGGCTGAAAACCAGTAACCATTGACTTCCATAGTAGGAAAAACAAATACTATGAAAGTCAATGGTTACAGGTTTTCAGCATTTTATATCTTAATGTTCAACAGAAGAAAGTATATATATAACCATATCCACGTTCATTTTAGAGTGAACTCTCCCTGAAAATAAGAATAACCCAGCACTCTTACTGCTTTAAATTCTGTTTAGAACACAAAATAAGATACTTTGAAGAATGCTGAAAACTCGCCCTGTAAATAAGAATAACCCAGCGATCTTACCACTTTAAATTCAGTTTAGAAAACAAAATAAGATACTTTGAAGAATGCTGAAAACTCGCCCTGTAAATAAGAATAACCCAGCGATCTTACCACTTTAAATTCAGTTTAGAAAACAAAATAAGATACTTTGAAGAATGCTGAAAACTCGCCCTGTAAATAAGAATAACCCAGCGATCTTACCACTTTAAATTCAGTTTAGAAAACAAAATAAGATACTTTGAAGAATGCTGAAAACTCGCCCTGTAAATAAGAATAACCCAGCGATCTTACCACTTTAAATTCAGTTTAGAACACAAAATAAGATACTTTGAAGAATGCTGAAAACTCGCCCTGTTAATAAGAATAACCCAGCGATCTTACCACTTTAAATTCTCTTTTGGACACAAAATAAGATACTTTGAAGAATGCTGAAAACTCGCCCTGTAAATCAAAATAACCCAGCGATCCTACCACTTTAAATTCAGTTCAACACAAAATAAGATACTTTGAAGAATACTGAAAACTCGCCCTGTAAATCAAAATAACCCGGCGATCTTACCACTTTAAATTCAGTTCAACACAAAATAAGATACTTTGAAGAATGCTGAAAACTCGCCCTGTAAATGAGAATAACCCAGCGATCTTACCACTTTAAATTCAGTTTAGAACACAAAATAAGATACTTTGAAGAATGCTGAAAACTCGCCCTGTAAATGAGAATAACCCAGCACTCTTACTTCTTTAAATTCTCTTTTGAACACAAAATAAGATACTTTTCAGCATTCATTAAAGTATCTCTGTACATAAGAATAATCCAGCACTCTTACCGCTTTAAATGGCTCCTCATAGCTCCAGTCCGCAGGGCCATTTGGAGATGTATCTGAGGGCCGGTCAGCAGGGCTCGGCTCCTCCTCGGGCTCCTCTTTAACCCTGACTGTAGCTCCAGGGGCCCCGGGGCCTGACCGGCTGCCAGAAACAGCTGTATCTCTCTGCTGGAGCGCCAAACTCTGCTTACGAAGGAAGTCGAGCTCGTCTTCCTCACTGTCTTCATCATCTTCATCTTCATCCTCGGCGGAGTCTCGGCCCCGCTCCTCCTCATCCTCACGCTCAGAGTCCACACTGCTGGACATGATGATTTATTTATTATTAGTTTA